GACAATATTGTATTTCCTGGCTAAAAAATCGGCCTTGAAAAGACTTAAAATGTAAACTCCTGGTCAGCGAAAAAACGAGAGGATTTCCCAATTAGGATGCATATGTAATCAATAAACTTACGTTACGTTAATAATGGCACACCACAGAAAATATTTGTAACTCATTGGATTAGCTGGAAAACCATACAACTAACACATGTGTTTCATGCAACCGCAATATCTATTTTAGGTGGGAGAAAAATATCAATCCACACTTTTGAAAGTAAAAAATAACATGCTTATTCTTAAGAGTTTTAATCTCACAATTTATTATCAAATTCATATTACGACGACTTTTGACAATAAAATTTAAAAGACATTTCGATGAAATTCTCTCTGCCAGTATCTATGTCATTTATGAAAGTTAAGATGAGACTGACGTGAGGAGTTTTTATTATCTTAAGCCTCTAAAGAAGTTGCGTATACAAACTTTCTTAGAATAACTCATTTACCATTGTTCGTCACATTACGTAGTAGGATTAGTATAATTGCCTACCTGGTGGACACTGACCACAGGTAATTCGTACCTACAATGCGTGACACCTATCATTTAAATCTTATATATATACCAGGATTGTAAGTATAAACTATAATGTTCATGTCTTGTAAATCAGGTTTATAACTGTGCACGGTAAAGATATTTCAGAATATTCCGTCGTCATGTCAAAAGTTATCTCATTAAATTTCATAGTTAACCTTAAAAAAATCTTACGTCATTATTTCAACTATACACAACATTAGGAAAATTCGCATACTATATGGAAGGAATATCAAAACGTCAACAATTTCATAACGTGATATATTGAGCTCGTGTACATCAACACCTTTCGGAGGTAAGGGTGATTAGATGTTAACCAAATTGAGTGAACAACACAATACTGTGTTCTGGCGGAAAAACAGGAATGACAAACTTACCTGTTTAAGAGCCATAAAGCAAAACAGCTACTGGTTCGTATCTCCACTGTACTTGACTTCTTCCTGTGAACATCAAAAGAAATCGATCCGATATTGGATGTATCCCCCCACCAACATCCATTACTTTGATAGAATAATGTGAAATAGGAACACTTGGAAACTTTTGGTAACCTGTGCGAACAGATAAGTAACTCGTGCGCACGGATTAGTAATCCGTGCGCACGGTTTGGTAATTCGTGCGCACAGTTTGGAAATCCGTGCGCACGGTTTAATAATCCGTGTGCACGGTTTGGCAATCCGTTCGCACGGTTTGTTAATTCGTGCGCACGGTTTAATAATCCTTGTGCACGGTTTGGTAATCCGTGCGCCCGGTTTAGTAAATGTTTTACCATGTCCCTTCGGGGGCTCCGTAATACTACCTCTATCTCAAGAAGGCACCGAAACGCACGACTGCACTTTCAAGACTTTTCATTCATAAACACAGTTATAACGACCACATAATTATTGAAGTTTAAAGACAATAACACATATACTTCATAATGTATACTGTTGCTTTATGTACACAGTGCACGGCCGGCTTTTCATCATGCACGACTACACCTCGGACTTGGCTTTCCATGTATTTCAGTGTTCGGGATAAACCGACTTCAAAAATTATCTACGATGCTCACATTATTATTTGAAAGTGTATCTTGGGACATCGATCCTGTCTTTAAATGTATAACGAATCTATGCAATTAAACAAAAGTAGATTAGCGAAGAGTCAACAAAACCCTTATTCTAACTCAAAATTAAAAGAAGTAGGGCAAATTATGAACAAAAGAAGAGTTAAATCGAGACCGTGGATTTTTTTTTTCATTAAAATACAATAAGTCAAGGTGTTCAGGAAGGGGAAGCGTCCTCCGTTTCTTCGACAACAGTAGCCATGATGAAAAACATCGATCTTCACATCGAAAGAAGAAATGGCACATTTCTCAATGAGATCATGATGGCGACCTTAAAATTTAAACATTTTCTTCATCAACCCACATCTGTTGAATCTCCTGAAAGCGGAGATGCTACTATCAATAATTGAAAGTTCATGATCGGAAATTCGAAATCGTTCGGTATATCGTACAGCTTTATAGTAAGCCTTCCCTGTTGATCATTTTGCAGGTACAGATAAGTGGCTGAAGTAAAAGAGTATGTAGTGTCATTGATTCCAAGTTCAGGGGGGGGGGGGGGGGGGGGGGGTAAATACGTCTAAATGGCACATATTTCTTGTTTTTGTAAAAGACAACACAAAGTCCATATAATATGGATTCTACATCAGCAAAATTGACGAAAGGTTTCCATAATGGCCGTTTGATCCCATTCTTCTAAAGTTAGAAAGCTGCAACGTGAATTTAAAGGGTACATAATTCTGAACTTTAATAGTCAGTCCCTACTGTCCAATAAGAAATACGAGATGAAAAGAAGCAAGTGCTCAAGCAATTCGCGACATGAAGGGTGACATAAAATCGAAATAGTATTAATGCCGCAAAGCCGAACATTCTGAAAGCTACAATATGCTGTTCATTCTACGGTTTTCAATGTCAAGGGTCTGCATGATGATTTTCTGGGTCTGCGTGCGGAAAGGTTCAAAATCAAGTCTATTGTCGCTGATAGCTAATTTCCACACGGAATGTGTCTAATTTTAAAAAGACAAGCAATGATCGATCGTTGCTAGGTTTCATTACTAAAAGGACGTGTGTCTGTCAGAGACAATACTTACACGCCCATGGGCACAAGTTACATAATCAATTAAAAGTTTCCAGCTGACGTAAAGTTAGAAATGTGTGTTATAGGACCATAACAATATTTGCTAAAATATTCATTATTTATATTTACATTTTGATAGAGTTATTACGCTTTTTTAGTGATTTCGAACAGTTTTGAACTGCAAATCAAGTGTTGACAACAATGAAATTGATGACGTCACAATAGGGATTGATGACGTTACAATAGCAAATATTGTTATAGTAGCATAACAAAATTTGCCTTGGCAATGAATGGCAATGGTAGGATGCAGGGCAAATATAAATATAGTATGTTATTATACATTTTAATCATGCTCCCTAAAATGTACAAGTATTTGCTAAAAGTTTACGTTCCATCAACGACATTGCTAAAAGGTTAGCATAGTTGTAAGTCCATTTATATTAATTTTGGTAAGATGAAATACGGTAACGGTTTTCGAATGATTGGATTTCAATTTTGATCGTCACACGAAACTTAAACTTATCCTGAAAACAGGTTAATTGAACCCAGAATTTATCGACGCCAGTGCATAATTGTACAAGTAACATATTGCAACAGCTAAGGAATTTGCGGGTAAAATACCTCCTTAGTTTACAAGCTAGCTTGGTATATTCTTGGGACCCTCTCACTAGTTCAACAACGTTGGGCGTGTACGTGGTCAGTAGCTGGAAGGGTGACTTCCCGCACGTTGCAATATCAAGTACATTTAAAAAATATTTCAGAAAGGTCGCTTTATAACGCTATTGTAGATATGAATAAATTTTTGCATGTTCAATATAGAGAGGATTAACCATAGTTTAATTGTGAAATTAAATTTCAACGAAAGCAACTTATATTTTTGTAACAGCATTAAGAGTTTGTCATATGTTTGTGTTTTGAGGATGACGAAATGGAGTACACCATAAACAATTTTGTGAAATAATAAAAATCAGAACAAATAAGAAGTCCCAATTATCAATCAATCAAATGTTTGAATACGTCAAAAAAATGTAGCAAGTGATATGCTTGAGTGAATAACTTCACGAGTTAGTTACAAAGTATGAAAGAAATATAAGAAACATATCCTTATACGTTTAATGTATATAAAGTGCTAGGATGTTTTCGCAAACGCTCAATTGGGTACCGTCCCTGTGTAAGTAATGATGTTGTGTTTGCCTTGCAAACTTTACTTTCGAGAACATTATCTGAAAACAAGTTTTTATTGGTGTGTCGTAGATTTTTTCAAGACCTTGCCATCTGAAGTAAATTTAATCTCCATAGATATGGGGTAAATCAAGTGTTGCTACCATGTAATCTAAATGTCATACCAAAATAACGTTAGGTTATTAGATATGACAATACTTGTGCCCCATTACATCCTTGATATCTAGGGGTTACGCTAACTTTCGCTCTCTACACCCCTGGACTATGTCAGACTCAGTGTGCGCAACCTTGTTGATGAGACAAGAAGACTAGTTCGATCCTGTGATATATATCAAAAGAATCTCGCGGTCATGTAACGGTAAAAATTGACAGGCTTTGAAATCGGGCGTCTCTCCTTTGTAATCTTCAAAGGACAGGTATCAGCCTGGCGATTGGTCAGGTATTTTTCCATCTCAGATCAATCAAAAGGCTATCTAAGTGCCTTTAATCTTGCTATGACATATTCAATGGCTGTAGAGAGCGAGTGTGAGCGTAACCCGTGGATATCCAGGATGGAGATTACGCACACTTTCGCTCTCAGCACCCCTGGAATATTTCATAGCAAAATTAAAGGTTCATCGTACAATTTTACACCACCTTGTGGAATAGACAAGATGACTGTGTCGATCCTTTCATGTACATGAAAATAATATTGTGGTCGCGTAACGGTAAAACTTACTGGCTTTTAAGTCGGGCGTCGCTCCTGTATGATCTTCAAAGGACATGAATCAGCCTAGAGATTGGTCAGGGTTTTTTACCAATCAAATAGCTAGCCACGTGCCTTCAGTTTTGCTATGACATATTTTAGGGGTGCAGGGAGCGTAAGTGAGCAGAACCCCTGGATATCGAGGATGGCCCAATTAGAGATAGAAGATGGACGTATTTTCTATATATATATTTGAAGGTGTAGTTTGTTTACCTTTCACAGAAACACTGTCAGACAGGTAAGAATTACGAACGTGTACTAGTTAACTAGTTAGACAAATTCGAATAAACATACCTAATGTCAAATAAATAAAAAAAAATCGTTATAAAAATAGCTTCGACTGGTGTTCTACTTACGACCTCGACGTTGACCATCCGCCCATGCACTCTTTCGGTTGTTGTCCATCCACACTTCTATTGAGAAATTCCAGTTGATGATAAAAAATAAACAAGACGTTTACATTATATTAACTGGGACATACATGTTTATCAGTAGTAACTTCCTTAAATTTTCAGATTATATTAACATGCTCTTCTGTTATATCATCAATTGGATGAACGTTTTGGACGAGGAAAAACAATAAATAAAATAATAAAAAACACGAAAAGAATTATGTATATAACATTTTGTGCTGTTACATATATTATTGGACATCAACGCTTTTTCATTGACCAGTTTTACATCATAGCACGTTTTGTTATAACAAAATTTAATATTAAAAAAGATGGTATGCAGTAAAGGATAACTCAAGTAGTTCATAGCATGGTAATAGTGTGTTTTAGGTTACTAGTGAATGACGGATGACTAGCGCTTTTTCTATCATTTCTATAAACTTGAATATGGTTTGTTTGATGAAATATGAACTCTGTTATGTGTAAAACGCAATACTTTACCTTTGATGAAATTTGTCCTGATTTCCCATGGCATTAGAAGGGACATCCTGAGATTTTCACAAGCATATTTTGCATCTGTCCAATTTAGATCGAACTTTGAAACTAAGATTAGTGTTTTTTGATTGATTTTGAGAAATGCTCTGTATTCTCCAATTGTAGATGTATTAAATTCTGCAAAAACATGAATAGTATAGTTTGATTAAAGATGGAGTATCGATATGGATTTGGTAATCTTAAATATATTGCGATTGGGACACACACATATTGCCATTACATGCATGATAAAGGGGTCTCGGAATGCAAAAAAATCTATAGACTTTTTCTGTAACACTTACAGGTGGATTTTCACCAACATTTCTTAAAATGATGTTTTGATGATGAGGATCATAGTTTATAGTCATGACGGGGCTGACCCCAGTGATTTAGTGCAAAACCTTAAACAATCACTTACAATAACGTTTTCAACTTCTCCTAAGGACCTCTCAGTCAAATATTAATGAAACTTAACGGTTACAAATAGTCTGATGTTGGGGTGAGAATTCATACTAGATACGGACTGCCACAAACATTAAGCTCCCTCTAGTGGGCTGGAGGGTTTACAGAGTGCAAACCTACAAAAGTCGTCTTTTTTAAAAACTTACAGGTGGATTTTCACCAACTTTTAATAGAATGATAACGGACTGATTCTCATGGGGTTCATAGTCGGTAATTTATCGAAAAACTTGAATTAGTCATATGACTTCTTTCCAGAAACTATCTGTCAGAATTTTAGAAACTCATCAGGAATAGCCAATTCAGTCAGAAAGAAATGTTTGGTTATATAACCTTTTATACTTTGTCACATCACAATAACAAAAAAACAACTGTATTTTAATTCAGGCGAGAAAAGGCCTCTTGATTCTATTAATAGAGAGATCATAAGCTTACCTTCCGGAGATAAATCTCTTAAGTTTTGTCCATGTATGTTGAGAAATTGTATGCCACCGATAACTAGGCTGAGGGCTACCCATATCGTGATCATCTTGCTGTTATCTGTAACCAAACATGATATAATGGGAGTTTAATGAAAACACACACTTGTTTACTTCGGTCAGACTTATGTACAACTATACATTACTTATTTGTTTTGATGTCTTCTCTCTAATTTGTCATAGCTTGTTTACATTGTGTTCATAGTCGTATTGCCATGTGAATGTTGATATAAAATTTAGGTTTTGTCCTTGTGTATTGACATGAAATAGAGGATTTTCCTTTAATGTTAACATAAAATAACGGTCTTTTCTCCTTTGTTGACATTAAGTTGACATTTTACTCTTGTGTAATTGGCTTTTGGTTTAGGTTTTGACATAGCATTTAAGTTTTAACTTTGTGTGTCGTAAAAAGGTGATAGTTTGGTTCTGGTGTGTTGACATAAAATTAAGGCTATTATCCTTGCATGTTGTCATAAAGTTGAGGTTTTGGATTTCGTCTGTTGACATCATGAAGAAGGTTTTGTCAATGTGTAGAGACACAAACTGATTTCGTTTCCTTGCTTCTTGACAGAAAATTAAAGTAAGAAGATAACAACTGTGTAGACTATGACATTAAACATGACTAGTACGATAACAACTATGTAGGCTGTGACATTAAACATGACTAGTAAGATAACAACTGTGTAGACTGTGACATTAAACATGACTAGTAAGATAACAACTGTGTAGACTGTGACATTAAACATGACTAGTAAGATAACAACTGTGTAGATTGTGAAATTAAACATGACTATTAGTACGATAACAACTATGTAGACTGTGCCATTAAACATGACTAGTAAGATAACAACTGTGTAGACTGTGAAATTAAACATGACTATTAGTACGATAACAACTATGTAGACTCTGACATTTAACATGACTATTAGTACGATAACAACTATGTGGACTGTGACATTAAACATGACTAGTACATATGTAATATAACAACTGTGTAGACTGTGACATTAAACTTGAGTAGTAGTAAGATAACAACTGTGTAGACTGTGACATTAAACATGGCTAGTAAGATAACAACTGTGTAGACTGTGACATTAAACTTGAGTAGTAGTAAGATAACAACTGTGTAGACTGTGACATTAAACATGGCTAGTACGATAACAACTATGTAGGCTGTGACATTAAACATGGCTTGTAGGATAACAACAACGTAGGTTGTGTCAATAAACATGACTAGTAAGAAAATAACCGTGTAGACAGTGACATTAAATATGGCTAGTAAGAAAACAACTGTGTAGGCTGTGACATTAAACATGAGTAGCTATATAACAACTGTGTAGGCTGTGACATTAAACATGACTAGTAAGATAACAACTATGTAGACTGTGACATAAAACATGACTAGTACATATGTAAGATAACAACTGTGTAGACTGTGACATTAAACATGACTAGCAAGATTAATAACTGTGTAGACTGTGCCATTAAACATGACTAGTAAGATAACAACTGTGTAGACTGTGACATTAAACATGACTATTAGTACGAAAACAACTATGTAGACTGTGACATAAAACATGACTAGTACATATGTAAGATAACAACTGTGTAGACTGTGACATTAAACTTGACTAGTAGTAAGATAACAACTGTGTAGACTGTGACATTAAACATGACTATTAGTACGAAAACAACTATGTAGACTGTGACATTAAACATGACTAGTAAGATAACGACTGTGTAGACTATGACATTAAACATGGCTTGTAGGATAACAACAATGTAGGCTGTGTCAATAAACATGACCAGTAAGAAAATAACCGTGTAGACAGTGACATTAAATATGGCTAGTAAGAAAACAACTGTGTAGGCTGTGACATTAAACATGAGTAGTTAGATAACAACTGTGTAGACGGTGACATTAAACATGACTAGTAAGATAACAACTGTGTAGACTGTGACATTAAACTTGACTAGTAGTAAGATAACAACTGAGGAGACTGTGACATTTAACATGACTAGTAAGATAACAACTATGTAGACTGTGACATTAAACATGAATAATAAGATTAATAACTGTGAAGACGGTGACATTAAACATGGTAGTATGATAACAACTATGTAGGCAGTGACAATAAAAATAACTAGTAAGATAACAACAATGTTGGCTGTGACATTAAACATGACTAGTAAGATAACAACTGTGCAGACTGTGATATTAAACATGACTAATAGTAAGATAACAACTATGAAGACTGTGACATTAAATAAGACTAGTCAGATAACAACTATTTAGACTGTGACATTTAACATGATTAATAAGATAACAACTGTGTAGACTGTGACATTAAACATGGCTAGTACGATAACAACTATGTAGGCATTGACAATAAAAATAACTAGTAAGATAACAACAATGTTGCCTGTGACATTAAACATGACTAGTAAGATAACAACTGTGTAGACTGTGATATTAAACATGACTTATAGTCAGATAACAACTATGTAGACTGTGACATTAAACATGACTAG